TGAATTAATTTAAAAGGAACATCATAATGTGCAGTAGAAACTAGAAAATACAATATATGACTTTTACTCAAACTACATGAAATGCAAGATTTATTCACATGAGTTAATGTAGTAGTTTTAGTAGACAAACAACTAAAATGAAACAAATATTCTAGTTTATTAGCAATAAGGTGACCAAGGCATCTATGCCATAAGTGTCATTCATTATTTTTGCAAACAAGTCCTGAACTACTAGTAGAAAGTAAACATGATGAAAATAGATGAAACTAGTGTCTTCTCAAATTCAAGAACAAATAACCGCCCGAGTCTATGCCCCTTCCCCTTCATTGTCCTAGTGTGTTGGCCCTGAATCAAACAACCATCACACATCCTCAACAAATTGTCCAACATAGATTAAATTGATAGCAAGTTTAGGAAGAAGAAGGGTTTTAGGAAGATGAAATTGAAAAGAGGCCAAAGTATGTAAGAACAGATCACTATGACAATGATTTTTAATTTCTCACCATTAGCTATAATGATATGTTTGTTAAGAGACCAGGATTTTAATGTACTGACCAGAATGTGCCCTGTCATGTGATTAGAGGCACTAAAGTCTATTATCCAAATGTGACTGGGTGAAGAACAATAAAGAGAAGACTCACCCGATTGCCCAATAACTGAAAACACAGAAGAAATAATTGTAGATACCAACTACTGCACCTTCTCAGTAAGAACACTAGAAGATTTACCCTTGGTTGAAGATATAATAGAGGAAGAGGAAGCTACAACACCACCATCTACATTTTCAACACTTGTCTAATAGGCTTTATGCTCACCTTTCTTGTACCCAGATGTACCTCCCTTGGGTGGACAAGTAGGACATTTAATTATGATGTGTTCCTACTATTAACAATAAGTGCAAGTGTTCTTCCTTTTTCAATTAGAAACTACATGACCAAATTCTTTACATTCATAACAGTGCACCTTAGATAAATCCTTCTTGCGCTTTGATCTATTTGTCGGAATAACAGTCTCTACCCCCAAATCTTGCTTCTCACTAAATAGTCAACTGAGTCACAAGCCTTGTTTCTTCTCTTAGAAGTTCTCCCAGGATAACATCCAAGCTTGGAGTGGTGTCTCTACTTAAAATATTAGACCTGATCAATTCAAAATCAGGTTGTAGATGCATAAAAAAAAGCATAACCTTCCTTCTATCAAAATGACTCTTCATGGATTTAACACAACAAACTGTCAAGGATTCATCCATATGCACAAGTTCATACTCGGTGCACAGATTCACGAATCCAACATAATATTCCTGAATCTTCTTCTCCCCTTGAGTGTAGGAGAAGATCTCTGTTTCAATCTGATATTGTTTGGAAAGGTTAGATCTTCTGATAAACCTTTTCCATATAATCAACATCTCTTTTAATCTTCGGACCTCTCATCGGAATGGGAATATCAGTTTCAATCGATCCTAGAATTCAGGAAACTACCTTAGCATAATCTATCTCCCATTGTTTTACCCCTTTGCTATCAAATTCATTGGGTTTGGGTGAAGAATAATCAATGTTTCATTGGGTTTGGGTGAATAATCATCAATGTGACCTCAAAAGACTCACCCCTTTAACACAAAACTGAAAGTGAGAAGGATATCCCTTCTGTTCAAAGCCATTTCAGCAAGTATCTTATAACCAACTTCTCAAAAGGACAGTTTTCCAGTAAAAAAAAAACAAATCAACGAGTATTGGCCAATCCAAAAAAAAGGTAACTTTCAGGTCTGTGGATCTAAAGTAAGGATCCAAACCCTTCTAGAAACTGTCCAAATTCCAACTAAATCAGATAGGGCGAAAAACCTGACCTGAATGATGTCTTTCTTGAGAGAATAGATGGAACTTGTAGTGACTAAAGCAGCCTTAAAAGGAGATCCAAACATGTGTCCATTAGCAGATCTGAATGCACTTGAAAACACCTTTAAAAGCTGGAGTTGAAGTCTGATCAGATGAGGAGATCGTGAACCTGCTCTGATACCATGCCAGAGACAAGTTCTAGAGAGAAACAATTTGAAAGAGCGTGTCTTGTGTCTTACATGCCCAAGCAACTTGTATTATATACTAATGAGATACAAAACATGAGAATGAACTATTATGCCCTTCTCAAGTACAAGAAAGGATAAAAGAACAAATAGAACAATGTAATGTACAATGATATGGTTACATAAAATACATGATAAAAAGATACTCCCAAACAAGAGACAAGAGATTAGCCCTTATAATCTCTACAAGTAAATTCTTTATCACTACTAAGCCTATAACTCCAACTCGAATTTATAGGAATATAAGCTAGTTTTACCCCATGCTTTCCTTATATCCCTTAACAAGTCAAAAATAGGGGTGTCCATGGTTCGGTTAACTGAACCATGGCCCCTTTTTTGTAAACCGAACCGGTAGTACCGGTTTTTTCATTTTGCCAAACCAAAACTAAACCGGTACCACCGGTTAACCGGTCCGCCGGTTTCGGTTTGTGACTGGTTCGGTTCTTCGGTTTTTCGATTTTTTATATTTATAATATATATATAATATTATATTATAAATAATAAATGATATATAATATATTATAAATATTTCAAAAATATATAATATATTGTAAATAGATCATTATAAATATAATACAAGTATATATTTATATATAATGAATATATATTTATATAAAATACATAGAAAATATGTGACATATATTAAAAATATTTATAAAATATATATACCGATCAGTTCGATTAACCTTCGGTTTTTCAAAAATTCTGAACCGAAACCGTACCGACCGGTTCGGTTAACTGCATTTTGCAGTTCGGTTTTCTCGGTTCAGTTCAGTTTTTCGGTTTTTCAGTTTTTCATGGACACCCCTAGCCAAAAACATACTTTCTCTAGGAAATAAAAAAACTCCTTCTTGGAATAAGAAACCTCGACAACTAAGAAATACCTTAGATTACTAAGGTCCTTAGTTTCAAAATCAAAAGCTAGGGATTGTTTCAATCTACAAACTTCAAGCCAATTATTCCCTTTAATTAGTAATTACAATATTATCACAATATACACATAGTCAAAGGGCCATCTTTTCTCTTGATGTACAAGGCATGATCAACATGAAATTAACTAAACCAATCCTTTGAAAAACATACCAAACCTTTTAGACCAGGTCCTTGGATATTATTTCAACTCATATATAGACTACTTGAACCAATATACTTTCCCTTTAATTACAATGTTATCAATATACACATGGTAGTCAAAAGACCATCTCTCCTCTTAACGAGCAAGGCATGATCAACATGAAATTGACTAAACCAATGCTTTGAACAAACATTACCAAACCTCTTAGACCAGGTCCTTGGAGATTATTTCAAGCCATATATAGACTTCTTTAACCAATATACTTTTCCTTTACTTGTTGGTAAACAGGCACCTGGTGATTGCTCTAGCATACTTATAAATATCTTCATTCAAAAAGGTACTCTATACATTAAACTGAAATAAAAGCTAGAAGAAAGTAGTACAGAGAAATAGAATAAGGAATTCATCTTGGCAATTTGAGCAAGTCTCATGATAGTCGACCCCATTAGTCTGAGTGTATCTCTTGGTGACAAATCTAACTTCATACCTGTTTATCAATCCATCAACCTTGTACTTAATGGTAAACACTCATTTACACCCAACTATTTCTTTACCACTAAGAAGATCAATTAGTTCTCTAGTACTGTTTTCAATAACAATGCCTCCATAACATAGTTGTCAAGGCGACGCCTAGGCAAGCACCTAGTTCAATAACAATGCCTCCACAACATACATATCCTAGGGAACTACCTAGGATATGTATTTTTCACTTAAAAAAATCCATCACCTAGGTGATGCCTAGGCGCCCAACTAGGCGACTAGGCAACAAGGCACCCCCCTGTCGCCTAGCATCGCCTTGGCGCTTTGAAAACTATGCTCTATAACACTTCTAGATACAAAAATAGAGGAAACAATAAACACAAAGGTGTGAAAAAAAAGGAGAAAATGACTCATAAGAAAGATAATCTGAAAGAGGATAAGTAGTACTATAAGAAAATTGAATACATTAATGTTTAGACTAAACATTTAGCATTGTTTAAACAGTAATGACTTGTAAGAAATCAATAGGAGGAAGAAAAGACCATCTCAATAGTAATAAGTTTGGGATTAACAAGGATACTACAGAGAACTTCAAATGAAGAATCTAACTTATTTGAATTACCTGAGTAGAAGAGTTTGCAAACAATAGCTGTTAGTGGAAGTTATGACATGTGGAATCACCTTTTTTTGTTTCAAGTATATGCATAGTTTTTAAGGCGCCAAGGCGAGACTAGGCGACAGGGGGGCACCTTGTTGCCTAGTCGCCTAGGCAATGGATTTTTTTAAGTAAAACCATATATCCTAGGGTAGTTCCCTAGGTTCCATAACCATCTTTCCTTAATAATTATCCATAGTTTTCATAAGAGAAGTATAAATTTCATGTTTTAAGTTTAGAAAATCAACATTTAATGAGAAGAAAAGGAACAAAAGAAAGAAATTTCAAAAAATTTAGGGGCTGAACCCCTAATTTTGTTATAGGAAAAGAAGAAAAGAAAAGAAAAGGTGGAAGAAGAAGAAGATCTATAAGAAGAAAATGTGTTGATTAGACAAAATTTTAAGTTCTTCCCTTGCTTATTGGTTCAGGTTCTGAAATCTTTGAGGATTCAATCAAGGATCCAAACTTCGATATGTTACGCCCTGTATCAGGTGTATTGTATTGTATCTTTGGCGCCCCAATACACATGTTTATAGGTGTTTTTGGGAACCCATTTTTTAAATTAATATATATTTAAAAATGAAATTGAAAACCAAAGAAATAAAAAAGTAGGGGGAGTATCATTATAAGTACTGATACTTTGAACCATGGGTTTAAAAAAATAAAAAAAATATCACAGAGGTGTATCAATACTTTGAACCATGGGTTCAATACATCAATTAGCAATGTTTGTGTTGATTAAACCCTAACAAATAAAATAATAAAAAGAAATCAGTACATAAAGACACTACAAGGGCGCAAAACTACTTGGCGACTGGGCGAAGCGAGCCTCCAAGGGCGCCTCGTCGCCTAGGCATTGCCTTGACAACTATGAGTATATGCTTCAGGATTCTTTGACACTACAACCTCCATAAAGACCTTAAGAAGGAAAACATGAGAACCAACATAGGAAGAAGAAATACAAGACTTTTCTTTTCATTAGAACTCTATCTAAATAGTGACCTAAGGAGAACAAAATTGACTAAGATGGTGGTGTCCTTAAACAAATCTCTTTTCAGATGAAAGCAATGTTACCCCTTTTGAGTGAAAGAATATCCCATCCCAAATGGCTTCGGAACAATAGCTTTAGTGTATAAGTGCTTTGATGAATACCACCTTGCCATAGAACATGTACAATCAAGTATGTAATTAAAATTTAAAAGTAATCCACAAGTACAAAGAGAAGTACTTGGAAAAATGATGTTATGTAACATTTAGCAAGCTCATAGACTCACATTTAAAATTCAATGAGGTGACCAACTTAAACAATTCAGGGAATAAAATTTAAAAGACCAAATGAGAAAGATAAATAATTCAGGGAATATACTTTTTTTGAAAGATAAGGTAAATTTTATTGCTATCAAAGTTAAAAAAGATACAACAGGCCACTTGCCAAAGCTCCAGACACTAGCAAGCCCCACACAAGCATCAACTTACATCAGACTGAGATCGTCATACCAAGATATATGTATCCAATGCCTAACTTTGGTCATTGATGACTCACTAAACTATTAGACTAAAATGCCAAAGAATTATTTGGCAGGTTATTCAACAAGTAGACTCCTTTCACTTCATGGCCACTTTTAATAGTCTTCCTCATGCCTAGGTCCTAGAAGAAGAAGACATAATGATAAAAAAGTTAAATAACAATTTAATTGCATAGTTAGACCATCAACAAACAACAAATTTGTAATAAGCAGGGGAACATGGACAATGCATTAATGAGGATTCAGGTGGAATCTTCTTCTCTCAAAGGAATTTGGGGGAAACCAATTCCTCCAAGAGTGGAGGTTTTCGCATGGTTGGTGAATAGGCAGATGTGCAATGTGTTTTTCAAAGGTTTTGTAATCCTAAGCAGATGTGCACTGTGTTTTTCAGAGGAAGAAGACTTATTTCATTTAATGGTTAGCTGCAATTTTGTGAAAGGAATATGTGCTTTTTCTCTTCAAGCTATGATGGTTGGTCTCCTGCTAGGCCTGTGAATATTTTTGGAGTGTTGCCAAGGCTATCAGGAAACATCAAAGTAAAATCCTCTGGATCTGCATCCCTTTTGCTGTCTGTTGGGTAGTGGAAGGAAAGAAATAGAAGAATTTTTTTATGGAAAGATGAAGAGCAAGGAAAAATTAGTGGCAACAATCAGCTCAAAGCTCGATGATTGGGTTTTAATTCTTCCAGAATTTGTAGGCTGCAAAAAAAGAATTTCTGGTCTATTTTGTTGATTTAATTTTGTATGGGTTTTGGGTTTGGTCTATTTAGTATGGTTATATTGTAGTTTCCCTTTTGTTTCGCTAGGTGGTGACATCTTGTCACCCAAGATACTTGTATCTTTTTATCTTAATAGAATCCAAAGACAAGTGACCACCTAGTTGAATAGTTCCTTTCCTAAAAATAGGAGTAAGGAAGACATTTGCTATTGTAACCTTATTGCAACTAGAGCATAAACAAAGATGACTTGCCAGTTATGTAATTAGAATTACCTAAATTGACCACCCAATATAGAAGAGAGAAAAACCTGATAAGCAAAAGATTGATTACCTATCTTAGCAAAAGAAATGAAAGGATTAAATGACCCAGCAAATAGTGATGCAATCAAATTGAGACAAAGGATGATTATGCTTTTCCATCACTACCTAAGAAGCAATAAACATCTCATCAGTACGAGGCTATGAGCACCAAATGGGGTGTTTAAGCCAGTATTAGATTGTAATTCTCATATGCTAACCAATTTGTATTGTTTTTCTTTCCTTTGGTAAATCTTAGAGGTCTTAGGTTAGAACTAAGCTTCCAACAAGAATCTCAACTATGCCTTGGTTTCCTACAACAGTCACACTTCATTTCTTTAACATCCACTTGTGTAGTCTTCTAAGAGATTCCCTTCTTTTTTTTGACAAGTAAACAAATTTTATTAATCAGTGAAAACAGCATTACAAGTAGACAATAGTACATACATTATTAGTACAAGCATCCTTAGAGAGGCACGAGGTGTGACCTCCCCCAACATAATGAAACAGTTACAATTACAACCATGCCCAATACAAATGGTACATACATTATTAATCAGTGGAAAGACCTCTCCCAACATAATGAAAGAATTACAATTACAACCATGCCCAATAAAAATGGTTCCTATTCACCCTTTGCTTGGCGAGAATATCAGCAAAGGCATTGGTGGTCCTCATCCATTGTATTCTCAAAGTCATGTTTCTTGTTAGCAATATAAGTTTCATCTTGTTTCTGTAGCCCCGACTTACAGATTGACTCCTTCAACCACCCCACCACCACTCTAGTAGAATCTCCCACTCCCGTTGGACCTAAAAAAGATGGCAATGGCATGTCCTTATCTCTCAATAATCCCTCAACTTTAGAGGGGCCTAGGTTACCTTGGCTGTTCCATCAAAGTTCAGTTTGACAAAATGCTTCCAGAGGGGGCTTCCACACTGAGACTACTTTTTCCTTCATAGAAGAGCTCATTGCCACCATATATACTAGTTCCTCCAGAGATCATCAAAAGAAAATTGTGAGAAGATATCCAAAGTTTTGAATCAGTGAATAGCCCTATTCATCACACATTCTTTCACTGCTTCCTTGCCTCTTTCCTCCTCTAGAAATATTCTTGCATTCCTTTCCTCCCAAATGATCCAAATCAAAGCTACTCTTATTCATCTCCACATAATCCTTCCCCTTTTCTTAGAAAGATCAAAGGTAGTTGGATCAAAGAGACAATTTACCTCCATTGGCAAGTTCCATCTGCAACCAAATAAAGAAAACAACCATTCCCAAATGTCAATAGTAAAAGAACAAGAGCTTAGCAAGTGGTAACAATTCTCACCATTGGATTTGCAAAGAATACACCAGTTTGGGGATAAGCAAAGAAATGGTTTCCTTTTTCGCAAGATGTCCAAAGTGTTAACCTTTCCATTACACACTTCCCAACAAAAAGCACCTATTTGGGGGGCAGGAAGCACTAGTTTACACCAAACCTCATTAGAATGGAAAACTTGGGGGGAGGGCAAGGAGGGCAACAGACAATGAGATTTGAAAAAAGAAGTGCAAGAAAAAACACCCTTGGAATGAGGGGTTCACACTTGTCTGTCAGACTTAGAAGGATCCAAGCAAACATTATCATGGAGATGCAAAAGATTAACCATAGCCTCAAACTCAACTTCCCTCAGCCCTCTATGAAAACCAAAGTTATTATCGAGGAGATTCCCCTTTATTTCCTCCATATGTATCCATGTACACTTTCTAACTAAAATTTTCTAGCATCTTTTGAAGATCTAAGAACCAAATATCCATTGTCTTTTGGGGGACAACCTTTCCACGTCTTTTGAACCATCAAAATGTGAAAATTGAAATAGATCCAAATCAGATTTCTAGAGGATCATTGGTTCAATGCTAGCAACTTTTGCTCTGTTTGTCCAAGATTTCATGGTCTCCTTGAAAGTCAGAAAATTCTCTTTTTTTTATGAATCAAATATTTCTTTCTTTTTTCTCAAGGCAGCTCAATGGTGTAGGATTTTATATTTTGTAGACCTCTTTTGTTTTTTAATATGCAAAATAGAACTTTATTAAAATTTATCAAAAAAAAATAGAACTTTATTAAAAATGAAAGTTTACAAGTACATCATACAATCACGCTTGAGACCTAACACGGTAAGCAAAAACCAAATCTATTATAGAGATTGCAAAATACATCAATGGCTGATCCAACAGATAGCAAAAAGAATGACCGCCCAAAAAATTTGTAACTTCTTGTTCGGAATTTTTTAAATTTCTGTAGATCTTCCTAAATAGAGAAATAGTGAAATATATGTTTTTTTAAAAAGGAAAAAACTTTGTCCCTAAGAAATAGAATGGAATGGTGGAACAGGATTCATGTAGCCTACCTCAAATAGTTGGGACAAGGCTCAGATAGATGATGATCTTGAATGCATATGGAAGTCCACTCTTTAAACCCTCATTAGCCATGAGACACCATATAAAAATTGCCTTTTTTATAATTATATAAATTTTTCCTATTTTTAAGAAAGCACATCCTGGAAAGATGAAATAGTTCTATCAAGCACCCTTTGAAGATGAGAGAAATGGATCTTGCTATCAACTGACACATGCTTCATACAAGGCTGGCTGTGGAAAACTCCTTGATGTAAAGCTTGTTCTTGGGAATGAGAGGCAAAACAGTTGTGTCAACATAACCCTCCAAGCAACCACTAAATGAGATTCCTCCAAAACTTTGATGTAACTAGGCCAATTAGCTGGGCCCTGGCTGGTCCACCAAGCCCAGGAAGCTCGCTGATTGTGCCAGAAATATCACTTAAGTGTTCTGTATATATTTCATACAATTTGAAGGAAAAACACTATAGACAAAAACACATTAGAGTAAAATGGAACCTAACTTGCATCTTTGGAGAAGTAGAACAGATACCAATTGACTCCATCCCAACAACCCAAATTTGATTGGGCCTATAGCCAGGCTGTGGCCATGATGTAAAACCAAGGCACAGCCTGGACCTACCTTTAGACTAATCTACCTAGGCTGGGTTGCTTGTTGCCACCTCTACATACCCATGAAAATTACAAATCAACAGTCCTTAAAAAAAGAGGCTAGCGCTTTGTCATCACTTGGCTCCCCCAAAGCCTTGATGATCTCATCTGTTTTGAATAAATTTTCTAGCCAGGAAATTTTGTGCCAATATTTGATTAAAATAAAAACCATCCAAACTAGGTCCAAAGACTTGAACTTCCGAATGCATCTTCACAAAAATCCAGCACAGCTTCCTGTCTTCTTCTTCAACCATAACATCCATCCACATGGATATGTAAGATAGAATTAACCTTTCGCGCATAAGCATACACTGGAAAAAGTTATTGTCCTTATTACCCCCATTCAACCATGTCACCCATGATTTCTATCTCCTTAGAATTTCCTCCATACGGGCAACCCTCATTGAATTCTTCTACAGCTTCCATTCTCAGTACCTTATCCCACAATGAGTCCAGGTCACCTTTTTTTATTAATGGAAGAAATGGATTAAAAAACACAAATATTCATTCTCTCTATCCCCACAAAGACCTTATTCCATAAAGTTCTTTCAGTGCTTTAAGATTCTTACAGAACACAGAATTGGCCTTACCTGCCTGTAAACAAGGAGGATCAACACTATTTCCCACCAAATCAAAAGAAAAAGAAAAATAAAGTTGATACTTCTAGCATCATAACACACACACACACACTAGAGGGCATTTACTTCATACAAGTAGCCACCTATTTTCTCAAGAAAGAGTATCTAGAGAGTGGTTCTTTCCTTAACTCCACCCTCAAAAAAAAAATGTGGTTACCTATTCAACAAAAACAAAAAACAAAAAAAAAATCACTTCAGATGATGTGGGGTCCTTTTAATTCAAATAAAAGGCTCACCATAGAGAGTTTCAATGGTGTGGGTCCCATTCCTCCAGATGAAATAGGTCATCAATTACAAATTACACCTGATTTAATTTCCCAAGTTAAACAAGAATGCAAGTCAGATTAATCTCAAGCAAAAATAGTAGGCATAGTTGTCCTGTACTTAGTATGGGGTATCATCACTCAGTTTTAAATCTTAAACAAAAGTACGACTATTCAATGACATGGGTTAACAAACGCAAATATCATGCACAAGATGTGAAACTTTTGGAGATTGGGGAAACATGCCATCATCTAGAATGCCCTTGCCTTGCTCTAAAAGGATGTTCTTATCCCATGATATCAATTTAGAGGCAAGAACATCCTTACTGGACCTTATTATTCCAATAAGGTTCCCAACTTCAAACTGGTTCAAAAACAAATTGTTACTCTTTCTCAAAAAAAAGAAAAAAACATTGAGAGTTTATATTTTTATTGATATCTTTGTGAAAATTTAGTTGACATCAAGGAAAAAAATTTAGATGGAGAAGAGTTTTTCTTACAAGTAAATGAACTTCTGTTAGAATACTTCAAAATATCATTTATACAAGCATCCCAAGGAGAGGTATGAGGTGGACCCTCACCTATGCAACACAATCAAGAAAATTATACTACAATTCTGCCCAATAAAAACAATCCCTATCAGCCCCTTGTTTTGCCAATGAATCTGCCATCCCATTAGCTGATCTCTGTACCCAATGTATTTTTAAAACCATATCTCTAGCTAGCCAATAAATTTCTTAATTAATAACCGTCTCTGGTTTCTTTAACAAACCCACCAATTCAGAATCCCCTTCAATGAATAATCTCCACTCTAACAGAATTCCCCCAAGCCCATTGGACCAGAAAAAAGGGCAACAATGTTGCCAAAGATATCTCTAAAACTCCTACCCTAAAAGGACCGGCATCGCCTTGGCTGCTCTCAGTTTTATAAAATCTTTCTTAGGGGGTAACCAAGTCACATTTACCACCTTCTTTTTAGAGGAACTTCTTGCTACTTCACCCCGATTTCTACGAATGTCATCAAAGGAAACATGTGCAAAAACTTCCAACGTTTTTTTTTTTTGATAAATAACTTCCAACGTTCTTAACCAATGTATTGCTCTAGTCATTGCACTCTCCTTCACTACCTCCGAACTTTCTTTTTCAAGAAAACTTCTTGCATTTCTTTCTTCCCACACAATCCACAACTTAGCTGTCCTTGTGCATCTCCACATAATTCTACCTCTCTTCTTCAGCCAAGAGAACGTTGATGGATTATACAGTTTATCAACCTCCAAGGACAGAATCCACCTACACCCAAACAAAGAGAAAAACCATTCTCAAATACCTGTAACAAAAGGACGGGAGATTGAGGTGGTAACAGCTCTCACCATCAGCCTTACATATGATGCACCAGTTTGGGGAGATAAAATGAAAGGCCTTCTTTTTTGTGAAGTATCCATAGTATTAACCTTCCCAAAAGCAGTCACCCAACAAAATGCCCTATTTTAGAGGGATGGGCCTACACCAAATTTCTTAGCAATAAAAAGACAACGGGCTAACAGAAGAAGAAGAAGGCAACGGAAACATAAATGTTTCATAATCTTATCCCATTTGGCTCTAATTTATCAATCTTCTGGATACTGTTGAATTCATTCAAAAACAATCTCTCTATTCAACCCTATACCTGAGAATAAATCTACTAAACTTAGTGCAGCTAGATCTTAATTTTGTATTATATTATTAGCCTGTTGCAGATCCTGGTTATCTGTTATGTGCCTTAGGAGAACTCACCCCTAAAAGCTAGCTGTTAGAGGGAGGGAACCCAAGCATATATATACCCCACAACAGCATCCCATTCTACCGATGTGGGATACCTCACATTAGCATCCCATACTACCAACATGGGACAAATGGATCGTAACATTATCCTATTACACATTTCTCTACGTCTTCAACCCTAATTATCTTATTTCCGTAATGAGAGCCCTACTTCACATTTCATTAGAAGCATTAGGACATGGAATTGATTTCTGAAAAATTATGCATGTATAAAAATTTGCACTTAGAGGATAACATACTGATATTATTAATGTTTTTACTGATTTCTTATTTTCTATGCAATAACTCCATGCTAAGAACATGAGCGTTTACTTTTTGTCAAGGCTGACATAAACTTCCAAGTGTACATATTCTCTCCAACTTCATATTTTTTCGTCTTTTTCCTTTTTTCTTAATATAATTGAAATAAGACCTATATATTATACCATAGAGACAACCTGCTAAAATTCTAGAGTCTAATTAACATTATGTCATATTTATTCTAAAATAGTTTTTACATAAAACTTTACTGATGAAATGATACTTCCCATTAATAAAAACCAGGAACAAATAACACAAAAGTAAACCTATGCCACAGGACGCTAAAGCAAACATCAAATATAGATTATCTTATACACATCTGACTATACTGAGAAACACTTTTCAAATTGATAGACAAAACTTTCAATTCATGAAGGTAAAACAGTAGCAAACATGCATATAGAATTATCTTAGAAAACAGCAGATGCCTCATCTTAGAAACAGTAAATCCAAAATCTATTGAGTAGGAGACAAGTGTAGTATCATTTTAACAATAGAAGAATGTTGTCAGGAGAAAAAAAAAAAAAAAAAACAGAAGATAACCATCACTTATTAAGACATAATGGTGTCTCAAAATGGTAAAAGTGGTCTAGTCAAAATAGTAACCTGCTCAAAAATATAAACATGCAGTATTTATCCATGTTCCAAAACTTTCCAAAAGCAACCAAAATTCAAGTTTTCCCAAAATATTTTTGGTTAAGTTCTCTAGAATAATCACAGCTGTTCTCAGAGAAGAACTTCCATGCTGATATTGGCAATACCCTACCATATGAAATCTGTCTTCTACAGGGTGATATTCTTAGAAGTTTTGTGTTGGTGTTTCTCTCTAAAGAATGGAATATGACCTATACATTTAGCTATTAGAAAGGCAAAAAAAAAGGATAGTTCAATGAAATCATGATGTATGTTAGTATAGTCACTTCATCTTCAAATACCAATAAAGTGTTTTCCCCTAAACTGGGAACTGGAGCCAAGTCAAAAGAAATATTAGGATACAAAAGTTCTTCTAAACATTGTGTACATTCCAGAGGGGGGAAAACAAAAAGTTTAATAATTTCTAAATGGAACCAATGGACACATAAGGGAATGCAGAGTCAAGCATTGTCAAGCTTCCATCTGGAACTACTTTTGGGATCTATCCATCAATATCATGTCCACCCAGTAAAGCACAGTACACAGTTTTACATGAAATGGGGTTTAGACAACATAACCTACATAAATGTCAAAAGCCATATGGAGAAAAGATGGCTGCAGTCAGCAGATTGATTTCCGGTGAAATGTCAGAATTCAAAGAAAAAAAATCCAGAAGAAAAAAGGAACCCAAATTGTCTAACTCAGTCTAACTCGAGAAATTGCTTTTCTTGGGTCTAAGATGAATAAACCTCTTTGGCTAGATCATGTACAACAGGGTGCTGCTAAGGAGCAAAAGGCATACCAGGCTTCTAGTATCCCTTTCATCAAGCATGTATATAATACAGGTGAAAATCCCATGCTCATGCACGAGGCACTAGAAAAATAATGCACTGAACTGATGACACTTAGACCACATTTTGTTGTCCAGCGGCTGAGCGGTGCCTGATCCGACTTCTACGTGCACTAGCAATGCTAACAGTCAAGGAGTTACCTAAGGTTCCTAAGCCACTAGGTCCCATTAGCCTTAAACCAAACTTTCTGTATAAAAGGGACAATTTATTTTCATCCCCTTCAGTCATCAATTGTAGCTCATGTGCCTGCTCTCGAGATAAAACAGTGTACAGCTGCAATGGTAGAGTTAAGGACTCTTGTGAGCTCTTTTGTAATTCTTGTCCAGAACTGAATTTGCCAATAAATCCACTCCTGGACTTCCCAACGGTAACTTTCATAAGCCCCAGGGATTTAGGGTCTTCAGTCGAAGGGTCAAATATAAATGAAAACTTCCCAAATGTTAAATCAGGCTTCCTGAATAGATCTGTAAGAACATCTTCACATGGTCCCACGTTCTTTTGCACATACAACCTGAGATTATTTTGTCGACTCCTTGTAGCATGAAGAATACGTGAAGCTTCTCTTATACCACTCAAGAAAGCACCATGCATGCTGGCTGGATACTGCTTATTTGTGGCTTCTCCAGCAAAGAACAGCCGCCTGCCAATACTTTCTGCAAGAATATCATAATCATTACCAGATGATCCAACTCTAACATGGGAATAAGAACCACGGCAAAGGGGATCACTTCCCCATCTTGTGCATATTGTTTGGATGGGATTAGGCACATCAATGCCCCTTTGGCTATAGATACCTGTAAAATTAGCTAATAAATATTACACCAAGAGATATATTGAAATGAAACTTCCTAAATTAGGACAACTAAAACACAAAAACAAAAATTGCATTAGTACTTTGTCACCTGTCATCTAAAAGGTTGTAGTACCTCTGAGGATGCTTAGCACACGGTGTAGCAAAATAGATGGATCCTTGTGTTCAGAAATAAGTGCAGCTTCTCCTGCTACCAGTGCAATAAGAACGGGACCTCCAGAAACAGTATGGTAGCTGTAGAACAAAAAGAATTCACCACGTCTATGGCCATCTCTGTTCAGACAGCCAAATGTATCTAGGTCTTCTCCCCAGAAAACATAAGGAAAGACCATAGCAACCTTATTCAACAACCCAAAACCCAACCTCTCAATAGCTGCAAGTTTTCTTTTTGGTAACTCAGGTTCAAATTTGATGCTTTTATTTTTCAAAACCCCAAGAGGCACAGTGCAGAGGACCATATCTGCTTGAAACACTTGCTCTCCGGCAATCACTTCTACACCTTCATTTCCATATTTAATTGTGTGAACCATCTTCCCATAGAATATTGGGACATCTTCACACAGTGCTTTTATGAGTCTCCAATTACCTCCAGCAAGAAGACAATGGTCCCCACCCATTTCATAAGGATCATCCTGATCCCAATATGCAACAGAAAGGTCTGAAAGACATCCTGCATTTGCATATTCCAAGTTTGCAAGATGCCAATCAAGTAGTTGTGTTTCTTCGGTACTTTGAGCCACTCCATACAATTGTCTCAATGTCTCCAGAGCTGATCCCAGGGAAATATCATTTGCCAATCCACCCATAATTTTTCTCAATTGGGTGGCTTTGTCCAGCAACTTGTTGAAGATGAATTCTACATTGGAATCAATTTCCACGTCAACAGGTGCCCCATCTGGCTTGTATAGAGGACATTTATCTCTAACCTTATGAAGTGGAATGGAAAGTTGCCTGGCTAGAACCCCTAGGGGGTTGGCATGAATACCTGTAATAACACTACCACCAAGATCTACAGCAGCAAATTTACCATCACAGCCCATTTTCTGAGTATAAACTCTTCCTCCTGGCCTTTTTCTACCTTCAAGGACAACAACCTTGAAACCAAAGGATAAAAGCTGCCTGGCTGCAGCTAATCCAGCAAGTCCAGAACCAACAATTATCACTGACCCTTCATGTGCTTCTTGGGGAATTTGAGATGTGATTGACGGTGAAACCCCAAAATTAATATACCCATGTGACAAGAGAAAATCATGAGCTGAACAGATCAAATGTTCATACTCACTGCTAACAGTTTCCCTAATCTGTCCTTTTGAAAGCCAGATTCGAACATTATCCCTCCACTTTGCTAATATATGATTTCTCACCACGATGTAGTCATTTTGCTCTTTTCCACCCAATTCACTTACGACACCAGCTTTAATTTCCTCTTCAAGCAATGCATCAATGGGGAACCCTAGAGATAGAGCAATCATGGCCTCGATTTCAGTTTCTTTCTCCAAATCCGCCTTCGTTCTATTCTTTTTCCTTGGCGTGCTGCCCAAGTGCTTCTCTATGAGCTCGTCCATAAGATTCTCATCGTAACTTCGTAATGCTACAGTCTTTCTTAACGAGCGCTTAGGAGTGTTGCCATCAGAAACTGGAGATTCCATCCTAGTAACTCGAATACTCAAACCCAGCTCACATGAAATTGCAACTTTCTTACTTCTTGTCCCTTTTTCCTTCTTGGCTAGAGGTCACAGACCCCATCCAAGTCCATGACAAACGTAACCGTGCATTTTTCTCCGCACTTTCGTATTATCAAACTCAGCTCCAATAGACCGGATGTTCCATTTTAACAACTCCACGGATATAAAACGATAATCCATTGGATAGAAGGTTTTGAACATTTTCCTCAACTCTTCGACCACAGTTCCTCTTGTCATTCATCCCAAACTATCCTAACAACCGGATCTTTAATCTTCCTCATTTGAGTCCAAAAGCACCATTCTAGTCATTCCACTCTCACGAATCTCTTAGACGAAGAACTTAAAAATTTCACAAACGTAACTCTTAATTACTGCAACTGGAAACAGTTGTGTTGAGCCACCTAAGAATAAATGTATAACTAAATTGCGGGCCTAAGCTCGAGTTCCTCGTTGAGATTCGACACAAGTCCATCTCTGAAACTACACGCAAGAGATTCTTGCAGTCTCGAAGGAATAATAACGAATCATACCTTTTTTATTCGCAGCCTCCGCAGTAATTCGCCGGAATTAGGGTTTTCTCGGGTGACCTCGAGCGTCGCGGCTACTGGTCTTCTCTGTTTAATAGAGGGGATGGAGGGAATTAGTGCAGGCGAGAACTTCCCTTTTATTAAGAAAAACCGAAAATAGCGTGGAAAATGGCCAGATTTTGGGCCTGTTTGGCCGAGATTGGATAATGGATTGACGCATAAGCCCAGATGACGTGTGCACTTAACATCCGTACGCTGATTAATGCTAAATTTGAGTTCGAATCAGCTACCAACGCGAGACCTGATCTGCTCCTCGCAGCTGGCGCCTCACGAGCAGATTCTACCATGCATCGCGAACATCTCCCGTATTTATTAGCTATCATTAACGGGAGATGTTCCCAATGCACGGTGGATGTGCTTGTAAGACGCCCATTTATGAGGAACAGATCCCACTTTTACCAACACACGTTGAGCTGTACATCGGGAACTTCAGGAGATGTTCCTAATGTAAGGCTGCAGTGGGCTGTTGAGGCAGGGTTGGTAGCAGATCTCTACCCAATTTGCAGTCACAACGAGACTGAATCTCCTCTCAACCAATAAAAAAAAGTCGTTGGAACAAGCATGATTTATGTCTGGAGTATGCCCATTTCATACATGATGGATCTAGACTGGTTTAAATGGTAAGTCATTGAGTTGGATAAATGCACTTATTGTAGCAAATATTTCATGGAAAACAATTGTCTAGATAAATATACTATCAGTGTTATTTTATTTTGCAAAGTTATACAATAAGGATGTATTTGATTCAAGACGAAAAATGATTGATGGACATGCAGTTGATTGTGAATGGGCGGTTGGAGTTTTTTTGGGATAATCGATGGAAAAGTCAACTGATTAAATGGCTTACATCGATTTAAACTTTACATTGTAAATAAATGCCTAAAAAAGCGGACTGGGTGTGGAGTCTTACGTTGGTTCACTATATTAGAAACAAATGCATCTAGAGTTAAATTGACGTTAGAGTTTTATATTGATTCACATTTACACCAAAAACAAATTAAATGTAGCATAATTGTTTTATCCATGAAAAGTGTGAATAATATTGTCCCATCACGTGTTAGTAAATGAACTGCGTGGGAATCATTATATTCCATGTGACCCATTAATATTGAGACATGAACGCTAATTTCTTTCTCTTCCATGAGACCCACCAACTTATCCATCCCCATTACCAGAAAATGAATGTGCCCTAATATAGTGAAACAAGATTCAGATCTAATCTCAATATTGAGATGGGATCTATTCTTGTGAACAAATCCACCCGCCTCAATGAGATTCAAACTCGATGAGGTGTGGACACGAATTACGTTGGAATGGTTTTGTTGGGAGGAGATCTCATCTCATTGGGATTTGGGAACCTGGAAAGGGCACCTCCATGTGGACACAAATGAGTCCAGTTCTGCTCCTCATTGAGAGTGCCTCACAACATGTCCTGACTGCACATGGGGAACATCTCCTGTATTTTTATTTATTATTCATGGGGAGATGTTCCCAACACAGGGTAGGATGTGGCTGTGAGGAGCATATCCCAATTCCACTCAAATTAGGGCACCTCCATGTGGGGTACATCACCAGCAAAATATACATTGATTGAAATAATAAAAGATAAAACGTGAAGCTTTTGTTTGTCGTGTAAACCTGAACCTGGTTCGGTTTTACATCCATTTGTTTTGTAATTATGATTTACACTTCTAGTTCATGAAAATTTGTGCTTTATATCTCATTGGACTGTTATTGACATAAAATTTGCTTCTTAAAAAACATCTTAAAAATTGATTCAAAATTTTTATCACCTTCTATCTCAATTCTTTCTCATATAAAGTGACGATCACATCTTGTGCTTCCTACTGCACTCCCAAACAAATAACCTTCCCCTTACCTCCTTTCTCTTTCATATAAGGGGGAATCACATTATTTTACTTCTTAAAAATGAATAAAGCAATCACATCTAAAGCAAAAGTAAATCAGAATGTACACTCAGCTTATTTGCAAGCAAACTGAGCCTTTTTTTCAAACATGTCTCACGATTAGGGGCTTGTCACCCTCCATGGATCAAATGGGGTGTGCCCATATCATATCTCATGGCGAAATGTTGTGCAAGCAACCAAAGCAGGACTGCAATAGAAAAAATCCCCAAAAACTATGGCTTAAACTCCAGTTTTGGTAAAGTTAAAAGGCGATGAAAATCAGGCTTATAGCCTTGAGCCCTTGGCACTTGACAAGCCCATGGCGGTATTAGTCCATAGAAAACTGGTTTTCTTAACTGCAACTATTTACCTTAGGCTCAGTTTGGAAAGAGTACAAATGCAAATATGTAGAGTGCAACACCTTATATTTTGTATGTATTTGTATGTACATATTTGCATTTGTACTCTTGACAAACTGAGCCTTATGAAAAAGGGAGAGGAAAATCATTTGTCTTGATTTCTTGAGAAAAGTACAATTCCATTTAATAGTATTGCAACTGATTATACTTCTGATTTTGTATTGCATATTTATCCTCTAGTAAATGCCACATTAGATTTTATCTTCACTCAATTTAATAGTATCATCACTGTATTGCCATAGTTTTTTCATGTGAAATGGAAAACTCTATTTATTAGAAGTGCAAGAGTCAGGCAAAACAAAAGAATTTACATGAGCCCATTTAAATTTTAATAAATCCTCAACCTGAACCCACTCCAAGTTGCAGCCCTACTATTTATCAGTCTATAAATAATGCCACTCTTCAACTAAATAATTGAGTATAGAACTGAAAAGTTTGTTTCTTTAGCTACTTACATTTATACAAACTTGTTATAAACGCAAGAATATAAAGTTACTATATTGGACCAATAGCTATTTCAATAAGAGTCTTAACATTCCAACAAGCACCCAATATCTTGTTGTTAACAAGTATAAAATTAAGAGATTTAAGTTGCATTTGGCATTCCTTATTTTAAGGGCTTATCTCATTTTTGTTGTTATAATGCGCCTATGAACACTAAGGCCATGTTCTTTTTTCGGACTCGCATTTACCCATGTTCTTTTTTTGTTTGATTTACCTAGGTAAATGATGTTTCTTGTTTTCCCATGTTCTTTTGCAACACCCACTTTCCTGGGTAAATTGTTATTTTTTATCTCTTTCCAATTTTACCCTTTGGACATGGATTTGAAAACCATGTCACAGTCTTAAATGCCCCTAAATTTTTTGGAAATAAACCATGTTGCCTCTTCTTTTAAGCCCAATTTGAGCCTAATTCAAGTTTTTCCTCTAGAATGATACAAGAAAACACCACCTGCCATTATTTTGGGCATTTAAGTCTGTTGTCATAACTTTTTATTTTCTTTATGAAAATCAAACTAGTTCTGGTTATTTAATGAACTATTGAATTTTCACAAATAACAAATAGCAGAGAAGAGTATAAAATGTCAATGCTTATAAGATCATGTCAATCCTTTGACCTTCCAAATCACAGTTACAAAATGAAATGTGAGTCTAAATTACTTCCAATAAACAACATACACCAAAATTACATGGTTGGGGCTTTTCAAGTACAGCCAGATATACAGTTCTCTATCAAAGAAGAATAGCAGAGAATGAGACAAAACAGAGAAAGGGAAAATTAGTTGGATGTCATTGGGGAAGAAGGAATAAAAATTCACCATGGACCATAGTGAAGGCACATATGGAACACCTCAGCACATTGCCTGGCCTCACTTGGCATAGCTGATTCATATATTAAGATGCCTTCTTCAGCAATAGGTCAATGATCAACTCATCCAAAATCTTGAACCGGCCAAGTCCTGGTTGGCAGCAGAACCACAGCTAGCTAGCTACTGAATGCGAGAAGAGAACTCTCCAGCCTGCCATGAATTTTAGCCATTAGGGCTCAAGCCATGGAACAAAATACAGCATATACAATCAAGGAAAATACCATGTTTTCTGCACAAATGTCTGGAACAATGAAACATGGGAATTCTACAGGCTCAGTTTGGAAGGAATACAATCTTGTTCTTATTCACACAGGAAATTTCTAGATAAGTTACCTACAATCAGAAAGTTGGGTAAAAATTAAATGGCAAAAAATGATAGACCTTGATGAGATGGGCCAAAGTACAACACCAGTTCATGAGAGCTCCTTCTGATTGTTTCCAGAATCAGTGGAGCTCCATCATTTTTTGAACATGCTGTATATGTCATGTGGATATTATAGTCATACTTGTTTGTAAATTCTAAGGATTCCTCACCCTCCTTACAGTACTACAATACTTTTTTTCTGTTTACTAAAAAAATGTCAACCAGTAATAAAGCAAAAGCTCTAGTCTGTTCTTAACACAGAGGGAAGGAGGTTCATCCTTAAACCATCTCCAAATTTTATATATTAGAGGCCCACCTAAGTATATGCAAAATTGAGAATAAATAAGAGCAAAAGACCCAATAAGGTAGAAAGAAGAAAATCAAGAAATTAAAACAAGTTAACAAGTCTACAACAACAAAGACAATAACTTTTTTCTTGTTGAATCTTTGTATGAAGCTTCAAGTTCTCACCATCGGTTTGAGTTTTAAGGGGAAGGAGTACTTCATAAATCATTTCCTAGCATTTGAATTGTTAAGAACATGAAGGATTATGATAGAAAGTAAATCCTTTACATAGAATCTGGCGCAGCGTGAGGCGCTCTAACAGAGATGATTTCACGAGCAAACCTTACGATCGAGTTTCAGTCCAGAAACTGGTAACACTCACGAAGAATATTAAGCGTACAACTTCAATAGTAGATTAAAGTTGATAAAGAAAGTCTTGTTTTTCTTTAAAACCTAAAACATAAGTATTTATAACGTGCCAAAATAATGGCAAACTTGTAAATATTAGATAGCCAAAGTAAGTAAATAACTCAGCAAGATTTTGATAACCATCATCCGATGCCGGGTAACATAAGGATTCCTCTCTAAGACGGAACTGGCACTGGTTCAGTTCGATCGCAGGGTCGGTTAAGAACAGGCACTCCATCATTCACCTCCACTTGAAAAGAACTTGACCTCGAGTCATGATCAGGATATGCAAGCGTCGCCTTAGGCAA